GTATGTGTCGTGTGTGGTTGTGTGTGTGTGTACGTGCGTGTGTGTGTGTGTGTGTGTGTGTGTGTGTGTGTGTGTGTGTGTGTGTGCGTGTGTGTATGTGTGTGTGTCGTGTGTGTGTGTGTATGCGTGTGTGTGTGTGTGCGTGTGTATGTGTGTGTGTGTGTGTGTGTACGTGTGTGTGTGGCGTGTGTGTGTGTGTGTGTGTGTGTGTGTGTGTGTGTGTGTGTGTGTGTGGCATGCGTGTGTGTGTGTGTGTGTGTGTGTGTGTGTGTGTGTGTGTGTGGTGTGTGTGTGTGTGTGTGTGTATGTGTGCGTGTGTGTGTGTATGTGTGTGTGTGTGCGTGCGTTGTGTGTGTGTGTGTGTGTGCGTGTGTGCGTGTGTGTGTATGTGCGTGTGTCTGTGCGTGTGTCTGTGTGTCTGTGTCTGTGTGTGTGTGTGTGTCTGTGCGTGTGTGTGTGTGCGTGTGTGTGTATGCGTGTGTGTGTGTGTGTGTGTGTGTGTGTGTGTGTGTCGTGTGTATGTGTGTGCTGTGTGTGTATGTGTGTGTGTGCGTGTGTGTGTGTGTGTGTGCGTGTGTGTGTGTGTGTGTGCGTGTGTGTGTGTGTGTGTGTGTGTGTGTGTGTACGTGTGTGTGTGTATGCGTGTGTGTGTGTGTGTGTCGTGTGTGTGTCGTGTGTGTGTGTGTTGTGTGTGTGCGTGTGTGTGTGTGTGTGTGTGTGTGTGTGTGTGTGTGCGTGTGTGGTGTGTATGCGTGTGTATGTATGTGTGTGTGTGTATGCGTGTGTGCGTGTCTGCGTGTGTGTGTGTGTGTGTGCGTGCGTGTGTGTATGGGTTCGTGTGTGTGTGTGTGTGTGTGTGTGTGTGTGTGTATGCGTGTGTATGCGTGTGTGCGTGTGTGCGTGTGTGTATGTGTCTGTGCGTGTGTGTGTGCGTGTGTGTGTGTGTGTGTGTGTGTGTGTGTGTATGCGTGTGTGTGTGTGTGTGTGTGTGTATGTGTGTGTGTGTGTGTATGTGTCTGTGCGTGTGTGTGTATGCGTGTGTGTGTGTGTGTGTGTGTGTGTGTGTGTGTGTGTGTGTGTGTGCGTGTGGTGTGTATGCGTGTGTGTGTGTATGCGTGTGTGTGTGTGTGTATGTGTGCGTGTGTGTGTGTGTGTGCGTGTGTGTGTGTGTGTATGTGCGTGTGTCTGTGCGTGTGTCTGTGTCTGTGTGTGTGTGTGTCTGTGCGTGTGTGTGTACGTGTGTGTGTGTGTGTGTATGCGTTCGTGTGCGTGTGTGTGTGTGTGTGTGTGTGTATGCGTGTGTGCGTGTCTGTGTGTGTGTGTGTGTGTGTGCGTGCGTGTGTGTGTATGCGTTCATGTGTGTGTGTGTGTGTGTGTGTGTGTGTGTGTGTATGCGTGTGTATACTGTGTGTGTGTGTGTGCGTGTGTGTATGTGTCTGTGTGTGTGTGTGTGCGTGTGTGTATGTGTCTGTGTGTGTGTGTGTGTATGCGTGTGTGTGTGTGTGTGTGTGTGTATGTGTGTGTGTGTGTGTATGTGTCTGTGCGTGTGTGTGTGGTGTGTGTGCGTGTGTGTGTGTGTGCGCGTGTGTGTGTGTGTGTGTGTGCGTGTGAGTGTGTATGTGTGTGTGTGTGTATGCGTGTGTGTGTGTGTGTGTGTGTGTGTGTGTGTGTGTGTGCGTGTGTGTATTGTGCGTGTGTCTGTGTTGTGTGTCTGTGTGTGTGTGTGTGTGTGTGTGTACGTGTGTGTGTGTGTGTATGTGTTCATGTGTGTGTGTGTGTGTGTGTGTGTGTGTGCGTGTGTGTGTGTGTGTGTGTGTATGTGCGTGTGTGTGTGTTGTGTGTGTGTGTGTGTGTGTCTGTGCGTGTGTGTGTGTGTGTGTGTGTATGCGTTCTGTGCGTGTGTGTGTGTGTGTGTGTGTGTGTGTATGTTGTTTGGTGTGTATGTGTGTGTATGTGTGTGTATGTGTGTGTGTGTGTATGTGTGTGTGTGTGTGTGTGTGTGTGTGTGTGTGTGTGTGTGTGTGTGTGTGTGTGTGTGTGTGAGGTGTGTGTATGTGTGTGTGTGTGTGTGTGTGTGTGTGTGTGTGTGTGTGTGTGTGTGTGTGTGTGTGCCAACTCACCACCAACAGTAGTCTCTACACTCGTACTTGTATGCATATATATACATTGATTATCTCTGCCGCCCTTTGAGATATCTTTTATGACAATCGGAATGTATACAGCTGAGTCAGTATCTCTCAGCCAATGTATAAATGTAAATTAGTCAACAGAAACTATCCACAAGTATACATATACATATATAGGCTGTCATCTGGTCTCCCAAGTATACATAATGTATAACCACTATAAAAATTACTAGAAAGTTTTAGTTTACAAAAATCATTTGTATCACCTATAAGATAAGACATCCCAGCTTATTTCACCTGAAGATTAACCACCCTAACCTAACCTAACACAACTTAACCCTAAACTCACCTAACTAACGCTAACCTAACACTAATCTAATCTAACTAAATGCAATCAAACACTAACTTAACTTAAATGTTATTCTAACCTAAATTAACGCAAAACAAACCAAGCTTAACACCTACCTAACTTAATCTATTCTAATGCCTAATCTAACTTTATGTAACCTAATCGAACCTATTACAATTTTTTCTTTAATTTTTCTGTAAGTTTTCTTCGTCTATTTTGCTTTACGGGGTAGAGTTGTCTTAACGGGGTTCCAGTAGAGTTGTCTTGACGGGGTTCCAATAGAGTTGTCTTGACGGGGTTCCAGTAGAGTTGTCTTAACGGGGTTCCAGTAGAGTTGTCTTGACAGGGGCTCAATAGAGTTGTCTTGACGGGGTTCCAATAGAGTTGTCTTAACGGGGTTCCAGTAGAGTTGTCTTGACTGGGTTCCAATAGAGTTGTCTTGACTGGGTTCCAATAGAGTTGTCTTAACGGGGTTCCAGTAGAGTTGTCTTGACGGGTTCCAATAGAGTTGTTTTGATGTTGTCTTCATTTTGTTTATTTTGTGATGTATTTTCTTGGCAATATTTTCTTGTTTTTTTCTTGACAATTTTATTAATTAGTTTCGTTTATATTTGGTTTTTCTTGATAATGTTTTGGCGTTGAGATTTTTGTTGGAGCTTCAGCGTTCAATTTTCTTAATGGTTTCACGCTGAGGACGATGGTTTAACGCTGAGGACGATGGTTTAACGCTGAGGACGATGGTTTAACGCTGAGGACGATGGTTTAACTCTGAGGACGATGGTTTACGCTGAGGACGATGGTTTAACGCTGAGGACGATGGTTTCACGCTGAGGACGATGGTTTCACGAGGACGATGGTTTAACGCGAGGACGATGGTTTAACGCTGAGGACGATGATTTAACGCTGAGGACGATGGTTTATCTGAGGACGATGGTTTAACGCTGAGGACGATGGTTTAACGATGAGGACGATGGTTTAACGCTGGGACGTTGGTTTAACGCTGAGGACGATGGTTTAACTCTGAGGGTGATGGTTTAACTCTGAGGGAGATGGTTTAACGCTGAGGGCGATGGTTTAACTCTGAGGACGGTGGTTTAACTCTGAGGACGGTGGTTTAACTCTGAGGACGATGGTTTAACTCTGAGGACGATGGTTTAACTCTGAGGACGATGGTTTAACTCTGAGGATGATGGTTTAACTCTGAGGACGATGGTTTAACTCTGAGGACGATGGTTTAACTCTGAGGACGATGGTTTAACTCTGAGGACGATGGTTTAACTCTGAGGACGATGGTTTAACTCTGAGGACGATGGTTTAACTCTGAGGACGATGGTTTAACTCTGAGGACGATATTTAACGCTGAGGACGATGGTTTAACGCTGGAGGACGATGGTTTAACTCTAAGGGACGATGGTTTACGCTGAGACGATGATTTAACGCTGAGGACGATGGTTTAACGCTGAGGACGATGGTTTAACGCTGAGGACGATGGTTTAACTCTGAGGACGATGGTTTAACTCTGAGGACGATGGTTTAACGCTGAGGACGATGGTTTAACGCTGAGGACGATGGTTTAACCCCAGTCGAACGAAAATTTAATCCTTTAAAATGGTTTAACCCTTTGAGGACGATAGTTTAACTCTTTGCAGGCAGTGGTTTTAACCCTTTGAGGACGGCGGTTTAAACCTCTCGTCATCAATGGTATAATATTGATAATGCCATTTTGCTGGGTTTTGGTTTAGTGTTTATGCTGCCGTCATCATCTGTCTGTTCTCCCCGCCACATGGTAGGTACAGGTCGTCCATGGCTGCAGCGCGTGTTACAGTGGCGTTATTTTGAAGTTATATTAAAGTTCTCTCTTCTTTAACCCTCATTACCATACCTCTAGGATTTATTTTTAGAATTTCTTTGATGGAATGAATTTATTTTTCGAGCGGGACCCTTCAGGAGTGTGTGACCTGGTTGTCGTGTCCTCCGTGCCCAGGTCCGTGTCCCCAGGGGTCATTAGTGAACCAGTGTGACGACGGCGGTGACCAGGCCCGGGTGACACGGCAGCATGTCGTCATTACTTGAGGTCTACCGCCACCCAGTGATTCTGTGTTTGTTTTGATGGTGGTGTTGTGGTGGTAATGCGGCCCCGCCTGCGTCCTGGCCGCCGCCCCTCCCTCCTCCCTGCTCGCTCTCCCCGCCCCATCTCTACCTCCTCCCCTACGACACGCCTGACACAGGAAGGGCTCGGAAGGTCCCTGGTTCTACTGGAAGGGTTTGCGAAGGACAGTGCCCAAATATTTCCACGGCTGGGCTAATTAATGGTTGTTATAGTGGGGTGAGAGGTAACATACAGTGAACATCGGTGGCTGACATCTGAGATGGGCGAGATAAGAGCGGGGTGATCCTGGTGGAGCCTCGTTGTCCAATCACCAGCCGCGCTGGCTGATCTATGGTACGGTAGGCGGGCCCTCCGTTAGCTCCGCCTCGAGTCGTGGCCTCGACCGCCCTTAGCCCCTTCCACAGTGTGCCTCTCGCTGTCCGCTAGGAAGGAACTGTTGTGCTGCGCTGCGCTGCGCTGGTGACACTCAGTATTTGTGTGAGTGACTGTGTGAGACTGTTGCTGAAAACTGTAGTTTGCGCATTGAGCGGCACTGCCGTGTAGAGACAAGACAAGATGATAGTGTGTTGTGCCGGCTGCCAGAAGCCCATCACGGGCAAGTTCCTGGTGACGGTGCTGGACAGGACGTGGCACGCCGAGTGTGTGCGCTGCTCCGACTGCGGCTGTGCCCTCACCGACAAGTGCTTCAGCCGCGAGGGAAAACTCTTCTGCAAGAGTGACTTCTTCAGGTGAGTGTTGCGTCCCTCTCAGTGAGCGTCTTCTCTGTACTCCGGTTACAGTAGGTGCGTGGCGCCTCCCGCAGGAGACAAACACCGCCACTGCTGTCCGGGTTAACAAGTTTCCAGGCGGCGTTTCGTGCACTGAACGACATGGGGAGGCAGTGACAGTAATGACAGGTTACCTGACCAGCCAACACCTGTGTGTCCTCGTCCGCCCACACATCTGTCTCGCGTGATGGGGCCGTGTAAACATTGATCCATTTACAGTGTTCCATAACACACACCGCTCTCCTGTGTAACTGTTGCACGGGAAGTAATGTTGCCTGTGTCGACGGTTCTGTACACAATGGCTGAAAATATATCACAAGATATGTTTAATATTACTAATAGAGTCAGCAGGTGGCAGCGTTAATGGCCGTCATATTAATAACAAGAGACTAAAAGTTCAGTATATAACCAACCGAACACAGACCAATAGTTTACACAAGTGTTTCAGGCAATTCCCGGAAAACATTATTGTCGTGATCCTTCCCAACCTGAGGCTGTGTGTGTGTGTTCAAATAAATGCTTGTTTATTTTACTATGGAATTGAATCAACATTATTATGAAACTAAAAAGCGAAATATATTTATTTATTCAGTATAAATATATCAGAAATAAATTAAGAGTAGGGCACAACTCTTTAAATTTACTACATTAATGTCTCGGTTACAGTAAATACATAACATCCATACTGTACTAGGTGAGAGCAGAGCCTGTAACCGTATTTCATAGCCTGTAACTGTATCTGGGCGCCTGTAACTGAGCATAATGTATAGTCCATCTCTCTGTCAGCCATTATCATACAGTCCACCTCACCTTAACCTCAGTAAAATGACTCGGGTTTTCGAAGCAACAGATGTGTGGTAGAGAGGAGACCGTACACAGCTGTCAAAATAGGGCCAACGAATAGCGTGAGAGAGGAACACAGCCTTACTCACACTCAGCGCTCACACCTCACCGCCTCACGCAACACACTTAAAACCTGTATAAAAATCACCCAGAGAAGATTTAACCCCGGGATTATATTTTTATACGTAGTCAATTAATTTGTGTATGAATCTCTTGTAGTGTTAAATGATTGAAGATTTATGTGGTGTTGATCTTTGGCTGGACGGTAGTGTTAAGGTAGATGGTGTTGACAGCGGCGGTCACCACACAAAGTACCCCCATGACACAGATAGCATTGTTTTCGGCGCCCTGACAGCTGTTTATGCTAATGTTGCCTCTTCCAACTCCTCCCCTCCCAGGCACGGTGTACGTTCCGCTCCAGGCCCGTACACGAACGAACTTTCCGTGCCTGTCTGTGTCCCTGGAACGTCTCTCTCTAACCTTACGCTCTGTCTACACGCACCCCCACCGCGCCACATACAACATACTTCAACATATATGTGGTGGTGGTGTGGTGCTTACTCCACCTTTCCGCCATTATTGATTTCTAAAAAAAGTTTGGAATTTTATAGCCGAAGAAAAACTAATTGCTGCCCCCACACCGTATTGATAAAAAACACTAAGCTATTTAAGGTAGCAATCTATATTAACGCTGACTATAGGAGTTTTGTTAAAATACTACGATATATAAATACTATAACCAGAGTGGATGAAAATTATCAGAGAGATAATATAGTTAACATAGATAATATAGTGTGAGACGGCGGTATAGGAGACTCCCATGAACTGGTATATTATTTACACATACAAGGCCTCTTCATTCTGCCTCCTGGACGACATCGATGAGAACTCCTAGTGATATATCGTATCGTACCGCAGTCCTCTCTGTTCACCGCCGACAATACACATACACACTCATACACTCATACCCTCACCACACCTTATATTACCGACTTATCCAGACGATGGTGTTAGTGCTGGCCCTATTATCAGCAACGAGATAAGGTCGTCACTATGAGGGGGATGATTTTAAAAATATACTTTCAGTTGGTGTTCATCTTCATTTCTGTGTTTACAATTGGTGTCAGGAGGAATATTTCTTACTTTCTGAATGAAGGGAAGGTTTTGTGTTTTCTTTATGGAAAGGATTTTTTGTATTTATTTTAATGGAAGAGAATTATGTACTTAAACCGATTTAGTTAAGGAAAGTTTTATTTGTATACTTTTGTCAATTGAAAATATCAGAAAATTTTAATAAACTTTAGGGGAAAATTTAAAGTTATTTAATATTTAATTTAAGGAAAAATAAAGAGAGATTAAGTCTACTTTAAATAAAATAGAGGGGGAAAAAAGTAGATAATTTTTGCCCCTGAAAGAAAAAATAAAATTTTCTCAAAAGCGAAACTAGGAAAATAATTTCTACAACAAAATCAATGGAAAAAAAATATACATATACTGAAAGGGATTTTTTTTAGCAACCAATAATAAATAAGTTGTTATTTTTCGTCAATTTGCGTAAAATAGAAATAGCATTTAAACAATTCACATCATTAAGCGTATGTGTTGTGCGTGTGTATGTCCTGTTGTAAATGTTGTTAAGACGTGACGATAACTTTACTCACAACTCAAGCGGTTGTAACTTGAGTCATGATTTGTTATTTATGAAAGTTTTTGATGTGGTTGGTGGGTGATTGAAGTAGTACTGTAGTTGTGATGTTAAGTGTTTTGTGTTAATAATAAATGAATGACAAGAGTTAAAGACGGGGATTTATCTGTCAATTATATAGTCTGTCTAATTTAACTTATTTTATAGTTAAAAAAGATACCCATGTTTACTGTCAAGCATGAGATAATATTATTTAATACGTGAATAAATTTTTGTTTCTATTTTATTAACAATACTGAGATTTATTTTATTATTTTTTCATTATTTTATTTTTATTAAATTTTGTTTGACTTTACTTTCTGTTTTCTGTCCCATTTCATTTACAAGTTATTTGTATTTTTTTATAATTTTTCTTTCTCGTTTCTCTATCAGTCACCATATTCTTAACCTGACACCAGATACTGTTCCCTTATATCACCAGACACCATTCCATTACACTCACCCACAATCTCCACCCCCCATCACCCAACACAACCAGTACCACTAATTCTCTTACCCTTTCCTCTCAACACCCTTACCTCCTTCTCTCCCATCTCACATTAACCCTTTTCCATCCCCTCACCCGTCATCACCCCCTTCTCACACATCTCGCATCAACCCTTTTCCATCCCCTCACCCGTCATCACCCCCTTCTCACACATCTCACATCAACCCTTTTCCATCCCCTCACCCGTCATCACCCCCTTCTCACACATCTACATCAACCCTTTTCCATCCCTCACCTGTCATCACTCCTCTCAATTCTCCCAGCCTCACCCCCCCTCCTGCCTTTATACGCGTGGGATCCCGTGAACCTCGGCGCGTGACATTGTGTATCGTGACAGCAAATTTCACACCGGGTTTGGAGGGAGGGGGAGGGGGGGGTCGTGACATGGTAGTATCGTCTTGACAAGTTTATACCTAGTCGTCCCTCGTTATGCCTCGTCATTAAAACCCAGGTCGTGAGGGAAATATTTGTAGTAAGTTGAAATTATATAAGACTCATTTTTTGGGGGATGGTTTAATCTTTATTTCTTTAAGGGTTTAAGGTTTGGTTTAAGGGAAAGGGGGGGTGGGGGGTTGAGGGCATCTTGGGTTAATGTGAGGGATGTTGTTATGTTCTTACAATGTTATTCGGGGGTTAATGTGTTTCTTTCCTCTCTCTCTCTCTCTCTCTCTCTCTCTCTCTCTCTCTCTCTCTCTCACTAACGTCTTTTTAATATTAGTTATCACATTCACTGACTACCATACACACCCAACACCCTACACCTAACCTACCACCACCACCACCACTTACCACCACCACCTGCCATCATCACCACTATCACCACCACCTGCCATCACCACCTACCACCATCACCACTACCATCACCATCTACCACCATCACCACTACTACCTACCACAACCACTGCTTTACGGACGAGCGCTTGGTAGGTAGATAGGTAGGAAGGAAGGAAGAAAGGAAGGTATAGGTAGGAAGGAAGGAAGGAAGGAAGGAAGGAAGGAAGTAAGGAAGGAAGGAAGGTAGATAGGTAGGTAAAGATAGGCAGTTTTTCACGTGTGCTATGAGTTATAAATTAGCAGTCAATAAACTCCTGTGGCTCGTGAAATACTGATAATCCATTATTTATCACACCTCGGTGTTTCCTCCTACATTGTGAGGTCGTAGACAAGTTATTAAACCAAGGTAGGGAGTAGTCGTAGTTGTTGTTGTGGTTTAAAAGTATTTTGGGAAGGTTTAACAACTATCAAAGTCTTTAAGTTCCCGTGTATTTGAAATTTTTATTATTATTATTATTATTAATTATTACTTTTTTAGATTTTTAAACATTAAATTCATTAACTTATCATACACTATTATTTTGCTTTTGAAACTAATTAGATTTTTTTTTTAGAATTACAAAAGATAAGGAAGGTTTCTTATCACTGAGTATTTATGCTTTGTCCCCAGCTTTACTTATCAAGATTTCTAAGCTTTTGTACGCTTGATTTTTGCTTTTGAGAATTATGAAAGATAAGTGTGTTAACATTGGTGTTTTAATCATTAGGAATTTAAAACATTGGTGTAAAATTTCCGGCAGTAGATTTTTTTTTAACTTAAAAAGACAAATTTGGGGAAGAGACAATAGAGGGTAAATAAACATACATAGAAAGTGACTGATAATTGTGGAATGGGAAGATAAGATGATAAATAAGAGAAGGAGAGAAGAAAAGCAGAATGACACCAATATGACGTATAGGGAATAATGGAGAAACGAGAGAATAAGCAACGAAGATAGTAACGAAGACGAGAGAGTAAACAACGGATAAACAACGATAATAACGGAGACGAGAGAGTAAACAACGGATAAACAACGATAGTAACGAAGACGAGAGAGTAAACAACGATAATAACGAAGACGAGAGAGTAAACAACGGATAAACAACGATAAT